AAAAAAAATAGGATTTGAATACAAAATATGTTTGGTGACTAGGATATTAAAGGTTTGCTTACCTGCATCTATATGCAATGAAACCTTTACAGAAGGGCAAGGTAGGGATTCCCTCTTTTATCTTTGTCGTGTTCTTCGGCACAAGACCTGAAATAGAACTGAGAAGGCTGGGATAACAAAATGTGCACCAGTCTGCACATCCCAACCAAGGCAGCATAACTGAGATTCTCTTCATTGTGTCCACTAACTTTTGCACTTTTTAAAATATGGTTAAATGCAGGTTTTCTGAATGCCAGACATGATTTCTCTGTATATCTTTAGCTGTCCAGAATCTCACTCTGTAGACCAGATTGACCTCAAACTGCCTCTGTCTCCCAAATGCTAGGATTAATGGCATGTGCCACCATACCCTTTTTAAAAGGACTTTCTCTATCATTTTTCTTTTCTTTCCCAAGCCTACATACATTTTTTTAAACACACAGTAAACCATTTAGAGGTTTTTTTCATTTGAATCTGACTTTACTGGATATCTCTTTTTCTGACCACAGGAGTTCAAGGCCAGCCTGGTCTACAGAGCTGGACAGTCAGGGCTGTTACACGGAGAAACCCTGTCTCTAAAACAAAATCAATAGTAAATGCACATAATTTTTAATAATGTCTGGGAGCCTAGCCAGTTTGGATGTTCACCTTCCTAGATATGGACGGAGAGGACCTAGGACTTAACACAGGGCAGGGAACCCGGACTGCTCTGTGGACTGGAGAGGGAGGGGGAGAGGAGTGGGGGTAGGGGGAGAAGGGTGGGAGGACGGGGAGAAGGGTGGGAGGAGGGGGAGAAGGGTGGGAGGAGGGGAAGGGAAATGGGAGGCTGGGAGGAGGTGGAAACTTGTTTTTTGTTTATGTTTTATTTTCTTCTTTTCGCAATAAAAAAAAAATAATGTCTATGGGGCTGGAGAGATGGCTTAGCTGTAAAGGCTAGGCTCACAACCAAAATAATCTCTATGTTTAGAAACTAGGTTGACTCTTTTTTCTGAAATTTTAAACATTCACTCTCTTGAATTATTTAGCTCCAATAAACCACTGACATCTCTTTGATGTCATCCCAAAGAGAATGAACTAGACAGAATAGGAATTAAAGTATGTAGTCACTCTGAATCCTAAAGACTTCAACATATCCTGTCCTGTAACCAGGACCTAAAAACACCTAGCCCTAGTTCTTCTCCATTCCCTCCACAAATTACATACCTGTCTTTAGTGTATTGAATCCTAGAATTCTAAATTCTTACTGATGGATAAAACTACTGAGCAATATTTTGTTTCTTTTATTATGATTGAAGTTTCAAAAAGACATTTCTTGGGCTGGACTTTGTGGCCCACCCCTTTAATCCCAGAACTTGGGAGGCAAAGTGTGGTACATCTCTGAGTTCCAGGACACACACACAAGCAAACAACCAAAAAAGTCATTCCTGGAGTCTGGAGAAATGACTCCGTGGGTTAAGTTCTCACTATGCAAGCATGGGGACCTGAGTTCAAATCTCCAGTGTGCACATAAAAGCCAGGCACAGCAACACATAATAGTAACTTCATCAGTGCGGGACATAACATGCAGATCCCGGCACTCGCTGTCCATCCAGCAGATACAGAAGCCTTTCTCACAAAATTAATTTCCTGAGCTAGGAAAGCCTTCAACACAGACATCTGACCTCCAGCACTCACATACATATGAGCCCGCACAAAGCACACATCTCTGGGGATCTTGAAGGGACATAAAATCATTCTTAGGTCTTGTGTCTGAGTTGCTATTTCTTGGCATATGCAGCATCTGGCTGAAGTTTCAGCCTGGTCTACAAAGCGAGTTCCAGGACAGCCAGGGCTGTTAACACAAAGAAACCCTGTCTTGAAAAACAAAAAATAAATAATTAGATAGATACTCGCCCAGATAGTGGTTGCACATGGCTTTAATCCCAGCACTCAGGAAGCAGAGGCAGGTGAATCTCTGTGAGTCTGAGGCCAGACTGGTCTACAAGGCAAGTTCCAGATCAGTCAGAGCTGTTACACAGAGAAACCCTGTCTCAGAAATAAATAAATAAAAATAAAATTCCAGCTTGGAGAGATAGTTCAGTGGTTAAGAGCACCAGCTGCTCTTCCAGAGGACCCAGGTTTAATTCCAATGACCACAGAGCACCTCACAACTATCTGTGCTCCAGGGACATGAAAGTAGAGGACTAAGGGAAGGGAACAAAGACATAAACCTGAACAAGAGACCTGGGGTGTGGCTCAGCTGGTAGAGTGCTTGCCTAGCTTGCTTCCAACCCCAGTGCCGCATAGATGATGGCATTTACCAGTGACCCAGGTCTCCGGAAGAGGGGTCAGAGGGTTCATAAATTCAAGGTCATTTTCAGCTACACTGAGAGTTCTAGGCCATCCCTGTCTGTGTCCAGCCTCAACAGGGTTCGCACATTACAAGGTGGGGGGGGATGTGGATTAGAAAAACTAAGTAGGAGGACCAAAGATATGAAAGAAATACCCCCGATGTAGGATAGAACCTGGAGAGCAATCCAGTGAATACTGAATATGCCCACATTTATTTTCCATATGCTTATATACCCCTATCCAAAAAGGGGAGAAGAAGGCAAAAAGACTGTTTTAATACGACACAGAGGACAACCAGAACAATTACTTGTTTCAATACTTGAGACATGAGTTCAGCATTCTGTTGTTTGAACAGGACATGTAGAGCTACACCTTAGACCAAGTATCCTAGGCAGTCACTACATGGGTCAAACCTCCTGTCATATCCCTGAAGGAGCAGAAATAAGCTTGAATTCTCTGACCTTTAGTCAGGGTGGAATGGATCCACCATCAATACCCAAAACAAATAACCATGCCTAGGTCAAGATATCTTGTTTGCAGCCACACCTTAAGTCAAACCTCTTGTCAATAACTTTGAAAGAGCAGGAGTAGGCTTAAGTTCTCTGACCTTCAGTCAAGGTGGAGCAGACCCACTTCTGTGGGACCCCAGACATCCTGGGCTAAAAGACTCTGCCAAAAAAAAAAATTTGAATAATGTAAATCATGTGCACTTATTAAAAAGTCGCAACAAACCCATTATTTTGTTTTAATTACTTGATAAAAGAAAAAAAAGAGGAAGGGGAAGAAGACGACTTGGGGGTAAAGCTATCTAACAGCCCTGAGTTTGATCCCCAGGACCACATGCTGATAACCTCTGAGCACCAGACGTGTGCCCTGACACAGACCTGAAGGTCCATACACAGAAGATAAATGAAAATATATTTAAAGAACCTAAATCTGTCCATAACTAGTCTGAAGATTCGTCTGTTTCACGGTCCTGATGAGGACAAGTGGATTCGTTCAATGTTGAGGCAACCCGTGCTGTCACGTGGTTGCCACTCAGGCACACAATCTTTGGAGGCATCTTAAGAGACAGGGAAGAAGGCTATCCTCTACTCAGCCCTCCAGGACTGGATTAGACAATGAAGCCTCCATTGCTGGGTGGAGAGGGAGGAAGGAAGGGACACAAGGGGGCTAAGGCTCTGGGTGGGTGCCAAGGCAGGGGCAGGGCAAGGAATATGGGAGACCCTTCTGGTAGGTGTTTAGTTCCGTGGTCAAAGGCCAAGTCCTAGTGCAAGTGGAGGAGGGAAACCTGGCCTGGAGCGAACCCCTTCCACATACACTTCAGGCGGCAAGAGCCAGGGGGCGCATGCGTTCCTTCAGAAGCGGCCAAGTAATTGGCTTCTCTGAGGACCAATGAGATGCAGCGATTCTCCAGGCTCGTCCAATAAGATCATGCGATGATTCCTCCTCAACCAATGGGGCTTCGAGTATCCTGGCGGGGCTGGCCCCGCCTTTCGTGCCTTCTGGAGCCACACACCAGGAACGCAGCATACTGTACCGGTCGCCATCGAAGCTGGGCGCGCGGAGGACACGCTGAGGTCAGAAAGAATTGTATTGCCTTAAAAAGAAAAAGAAGGGTGAGGGAACCTATTCCCCAAGCCTGAGGAAAAAAATCTCCATGGAATGAGGAAGGAGGGGGCCATGGGCTGGTGGGACCCCTCGCCTGAGGGAGGAGACTGGCGCCCGGAATCCTGGGTGTGAGCGAGGAGAGCTGGGGCCTGAACTTCTGGATCTGAGGGAGGAGGCTACAGGGCCTGGGGGAGGAGGGCTCGGGGTCTGGAATTCTGGCTCTGAGGGAGGAACGTTGGGGTCGGGAACGCAGTCAAAAGGGGGAAAGCTGACCCTCAGAATCCTGGGTCTGAGGGAGAAGGGCTGGAGCCTGGACTCCTGGGTCTGAGGAAGGAGACTACAGTCTGGCTACTGAGCCTGAGGGAGGAGAGCTGGGGATCTGGAGCCCTGGGTCTGAGGGCAGAGGGCTGAGTTGGAGGGAGGAGGACCAGCCCTCAGCACCTATTCCGAAGGAGGGGAGGCTGGAGTGGGTCCCCTGTGTCTGAGGAGGGAGAACTGGGCTCTCTTTTGCTGGGTCTTTTAGGAGTGCCAGGCTCTGGAGGAGGAGCTGAAGTCTGTACTTCTGTATCGAGGAGTGGAATTCAGCTAGACTCTTAGTCTGAGGGAATAGGCTGGCTGCCCAGGATCATGTGTCTGTCTGGTGGAGCTGGGTCCTAAGGACCGACATGCTGAGGCCTTGAGAGATCTGCCATGGCTCTGAACCTCAGAGGCTTAAAGGCAGAGGGCTCCCGGGCCCAGTCTCCTTCAGACACTGAAGAAAGAAAGTTGCCAAAACCTCGTCAACTATCGATGGCTGAGCCTCAGAAGTATGGAAAATAGGCATAATAAACCTGTGGCCTTGCTGTTAACTCCCAAGACACTTCAGGGCGGACTTCATGGGTTTGCATACCATAAATCTATCATAAAGTAGACACTTAACAGAAAACTGAGATTTAATCTCTCTCTGGCTGACTGAATTGTCTCCTGTTTCTCTTTCAGTTCCCAGGTCCTGATCAGCTCTTCCCAGTCTCAGAGAAGCCATGGCAGCCTGCTGTACCCAGTACTTATTGCTCTTCTTCCTGCTGGGAGCCTCCCACTGGACTTGTACGTGTGTGGGACCTCGGGGAAACAAGTGATTCCACAGAGAGTGGATTTATTGTGTCAAGAGATCAACCCACAGAGAGGGCAGTTGATCATCTTTTTTTGATTTTTTTTTCTTTTGCAAAATTAAAGATGATCTTTATCTCATCTTCCCAGTGGTCCAGAACCTTCGCTGCATGGTGAGTAGAATCCAGCGTTTGGAGGAAGATCCAGGCCGAACCTTTGACTGGACTTCAAAGACTGAGAAGGTTGAGAGTTGCAATTCTGGAGAACTTTGCCAGGAAACTGTGCTGTTGATTAAAGCAGGTAACTGGGGACCGAGCGGTGGGTCTCAATCACTGACTCCTCAGTGCTGGGTAACAGCAGTCCAGTGTAGGTCCCCAAGCTGAAAGCCATCTGACCTTGCCCATTTTTTCAGCTTCCTCCCTTTCTTTCCCCTCTCATGCTCTGGGTTCTGTGTCTAAGAGCACAACCCTATGGCAGTCTAGATAGAGGCTGGGAGGCTAGCTCAGTAAGGTGCCTGTCTTGAGTACATAAGGGTCTCAGTTGAATCCCCAGGGCCCACATACAAATGTCAGGCATGGTGGCATGAATTTGCAGTCCCATCACTGGGGAGGCAGACACAGGGGCATCCCTTGGGCTTGAGGGAGAAGGTAGCCGTGTCATTTGCTCTCTCCCTGCTAAGCACTGGGCCCACCATCCACCTTCTCTACTCTCTATCTCACAGAAGGAACCAAGACTGTTGTTTTGGCCAGTAAGGGTTGCGCCGCTCAAGGACCAGAGTCAATGACTCTGATCCAGTACACCCCACCCCCTGGCCTGATCGCCCTCTCCTTCAGTAACTACTGCAACAGCACCCTCTGCAACAGCAGAAGCAACATATCTCTATTCTGGAACCCACCGGACACCACAGGTACCTGTGCATGTCACTCTTCTCTGTGTTTCTGCTTAGTGTGGGCCTCAGTGGCCCACATGCAGTAGAATCCCTCAGTCTGCCCGGTCCTTTTCTGAGTTGAAGTCCTTTGCGGTGCAAGCCCTCCTGGGGCAGAGGGACATCGGTGAAGGCTGCAGTAATGACTGGAATGTGTTCATTTAGCAGGAAGAGGTCCCCATTAGTTTCTGAGCAGGCAGTGGCATTCATTTTAGCAATTGTGAGTTCTTCACTGCCAGGTGACAACAGTCCAGTCCCCCAGTTTGCCCTCCAGACCTATAGTCACCTGCCCATCTTTTCACCTACAAGTGTCTCTTTCCCCTCTTGTGTGCCTTATGCTGTGTCTTAGACTCTTGGTCACACTTCTAACACTGTAGATGGGTCAGCAGGTAAAGCGCTTGCCCTCTAAGCCTGAGGACCTGCATTCAATTTCCTAGAACACACAGAAAACTGCCAGGCATGGCGTCATGAGCTTCTAATCCTGGCTCTTGGAGGTGGAGGAGATGGGGAGGGTCCTTTGGATTTACTGACCAACCAGGCTGGCCTAATTGGTGGGCACCCTGTGTGTGTATGTGCTTGCATGTGCATGTGTAGAAGTCAGTGAGAGACCCTGACCCTGTGGATGACACCTGAAGTTGTCCTCTGACCTCCACACACATGCAAATGCTTATGCACCCACACACACTTAAAAAGTGACTTTTTTCTTAATGTACATGGTACAGGTCATTTAAAAATGCCGGTGACACACGTCCTCCCTGCTTATGCCTACCATCTGAACAGCAGCCCTGTCCCATCTCTGTCTCAAGCCCATGCTCACACACAACCTTCTTCACAGCTCAGATCTCCGCCCCTTGAAGATGTTTGCTGAAGCATCTTGGTAGCTGGTGTCCTCGGTTTCCTTAACTGTACTTTGAGTGCAGCACCGAGTTGTAATACCACTGACTACCCACAGTGGTACACCACTTTTTGCTCCACCTGTCCTTTCAGCTCTGTCACGCGTGTAGGCAGGATGTGGGAGTCATGTGGTCTCTGGGGTTTCTTTTAGTGTGTGTGTGTGTGTGTGTGTGTGCGCACGCGCGCGCTTGCCTGTGCATGTGTAGAAGTCAGAAGACAACTTGGAGAGTTGATTTTCTCCTTCCACCTCTATATGGGTGCCGAGGATTGAACCCAGGTCTCCAGGCTTGCACAGTAGTGCCTATACCTGCTGCACCATCTCGGCAGCCAGTGGCTGAGTTTCTGATGAAAAAAAAGCCAACTGGAGGAGGATAGGTGGGACTCAGTAGCGTATTGGTTACTGTGGCCTCTACAGGACACAGGGCGGGGCAAAAAAGCAGCTGGAACAAGCTCCCCTGGGTGCTGGACACAGCCTTAACTTACCCTCTCTTTATCCCCATCCAGTAACTCCCAGTATGCCAGGAAACCTCCGCTGCCCAACATGTGTGGCTCTGGGGTCCTGTCCCAGTGCCCCCTCTCTGCCCTGTGCCAACAGTACGACTCAGTGCTATCAAGGAAAACTTGAGCTCTCCGGAGGTAAAGGCCCCTCAAGGTTCTGGCACTCAGGGTTCCAGAGGTGAGGGAAGACTGGGCTCCCCATTCCTAAACTGTGTCTCTGTTGCCCCATCCCCTCTGGCTCACAGGAGGAATGGACTCCACCGTGCATGTTAAAGGCTGCACCACTGCAATTGGCTGCAGACTGATGGCTTCAATGACTTCAGTGGGACCCATGACAGTGAAGGAGACCTGCAGTTACTACTCTTTCCTCCAGCCCAGAAAGGCAGAAGGAAGTAATAGGGCCTCCTGGATGCTCACCTCACTGTGGGTGCTGGAGCTGCTGTTGCCCACACTGCTGGTGGCCCTGATCCACTTCCCCTAGAGGGCGCTGTCGGGGCGGGGGGGCTAGGGTTTGGCTAGGAGGGAGCCTTCTGTCTGCTGCCCACCAGTTTGAAGAATGGGAGGAGGGAGGTTTGAGGAGCAGAGAAATAGGATGAGTGTGTATTTGACACAGATAATAAACTTTGTGCTTTGTTATTAGGTCGTGTGTGTGGTGAGGGTGATTGGGAAACGAGAGCCCAAGAGCAGCTTTCAGAAGGGAGTTTTCTCCTTCCACCGTGGGAGTCCTGGGATCCATGACCCTGGGCCTTTTCGCCTACCCAGATTTGTGATTTACGTATGCTTCAAGCCATGCAGTGGAGTTTTGGTGCTGCGGAGGGACCACTAATGTGCTGTCTCTAACACACATTTTCCAGATAAGAAATCAGTTTGGATAAATTTGAATTTCTCACATTCACATAACTGTAGGCAAAAGCCAGGCAATGTGGTACATGGCTGTAGCCCCAGTGCTCAGGGATCAAGCCAACCTGCTCAACAAAGCAAGACCCTGTCTCAGAAAACAGCTGTTAGATAGATAGATGATAGATAGATAGATAGATAGATAGGAGTCAAGAAATGACTTTGGGCAGAGCCAGGACATAAACACAGGTATTTGATTTTTTTCTTTTACTCTAATATGTTCGTTTTTCTGCAGGATTCCCAGCCCAATATTTGCTGTTGTTGTTGTTTTTCAAGACGGGGTTTCTCTGTGTAGCCCTGGGTGTCTAAACTTACTCTGTAGACCATGCTGGCCTGGAACTCACAGAGATCCTCCTGCCTCTGCTCTAATTTAAGGAATGCTCTGCCACCTCAAGGCCCCGACCCGATCTTAAGGTCAGAGCCAGCTGCTGCTTTCGGATTGTCTGTCTGCTATGGCCATGGGGCATGAGGGGAAAAATGAGACTCTCCAGTCCTCCGGCTCTCACAAGACCATCTCCTGATGTCCTGAGTGTCCCCTCCAATCCCCCTGCTCCGCCCCCACTCTCTATCTTCCCTTCACCCTGACTCACAGTGTTCTGTGGACCACAAGAATGGATGAGTGTGGTCCTGCAGCATAGATGGTATATAGAGGAAAGTAGAGGGAGACATAATATTGGCTTTTAATTTTTATCTTACTTTATTATTCAGTTTTGTTTTTGTTTTTGAGACCGTCTCACTGTGTATCCCTGGCTGGCCTGGAACTCACTGTGTAAACCAACCTGAATTCTATTTCACAGAGCTCCTCTGTGAGTTAGATTTTAATAGAATATCTTTATTAATTCCTTGAGAATTTCATTCATGCATACATTCTCTTGCCCATCTTCTCTCCTTATCTCCGTCCAGATCTGTTCCCACCTCCCTGCCCCTTCCCAACTCCATGTCCTGGCTTCTTCTTATTTAGATAATGACAGGCTTCCATTTTTGCTGCCTCTATACGCGTGTGTAGGGCCAACCCCTGGGCCTACCAAGAGCCACGCCCTTAAATAAAATTGGCTCCCTGCCTCCCCTGAAAGCCATCTACTGTCCCTCCTTGGCTAAGGTTGGCTAAAGCCCTTCCCTGCTCCTTGCTGCAGTGTCGACCAGCTTGGCCCTGTGCAGGCAGCCACAGCTGCTGGCCTGCATCCTGACTGCAATGGTCCTCTCGTGTCCAGAAGACAGTTTCTCTCTTATCCTCCCTGGCCTTTGGGCCTTAGAATCTTTCCACCCGTCTCCCCAACTGTGATCCCTGAGCCTTGAGGGTAGGAACGTGATACAGATGGTCCATTTGTGACGGAACATGCCACAGACTCTTAGTCTCTGCACTTTGAGCCGTTGTGAGTGTTCTGTATTAATGTTCTGGCTAGTTTTTTTTTTTTTATCAACTTGACACAAGCTAAAGTTGTCTGAGAGGAGGGAACTTTGATTAAAAAAAAAATGCCTTCACTAGCTGAGCGGTGGTGGTGTATGTATGCTTTAATCCCAGCACTCGGGAGGCAGAGGCAGGTGGATCTCTGTGAGTTCAAGGCCAACCTGGTCTACAAGAGCTAGTTTCAGGGCAGGCACCAAAGCTACAGAGAAACCCTATCTCAAAAAAAAAAAAAAAGAAAAATGAAGAAAAGAAAATGAAAATATCTTCACATGATTGAACTACAGGCAAGCCTGTGGGGCATTTACTTAATAATTGACAAGGGAGGGCCCAGGTGGGGTCCTTTCTGAGCTGCTGGTTCTGGGTTCTATAAGAAAGCAAGCTGAGGCTCGTGCGGTCTTTGTGACTTCCACCATGGCGTACCGCGGCCAGGGCCAGAAGGTGCAGAAAGTGATGGTGCAGCCCATCAACCTCATCTTCAGATACTTGCAAAACAGGTCTCGGATTCAGGTCTGGCTGTATGAGCAAGTGAATATGCGGATAGAAGGTTGTATTATTGGCTTTGATGAGTACATGAACCTCGTATTAGATGATGCAGAAGAGATTCACTCTAAAACAAAGTCAAGGAAACAATTGGGTCGGATCATGCTGAAAGGAGATAATATTACTCTGCTCCAAAGTGTTTCCAACTAGAGACCGTCAGGCGCTTGAGAAGTTGAAGAGGAAGAGCAGTGTTTTTAAAAGTGTCTTCTGTTGGGAGCATAGTCCAAAACATTTATTCCTGTTGTTTTAGTGGCCCTTATGTTATTATCAGGTGACAATAAATGCTGTGAGATTGTTTTTATTAAAAAAAAAAAAAGAAAGCAAGCTGAGCAAGCCAGTGAGCAGCATCCTCCATGACCTCTACATCAGCCCCTGCACGAAAACGCAAGCCTCACTTCTGGATGGCGTGGCTAGAATCTCAGCTCTGCCGCTTCCCAGCCATGTGATCCTTGACCTCGATCGACTTCGTCTGTGTGTTGGAAAATCTGACATCCCTTGCCTGTGTGATGGTGGTTGTCATAGCGTTCAGTTCATCCTAATAATTAGGATATCACCTGAGCGTCAGCTTTCTGTTGCTGTGAGAAAACACCTGGATGAGCAGCTTGTAAAGAAGAAAGGGTTGTGTGACTCCTGGGTTCCCAGGTTCACGGTTGGTTTTCCCTGCGGCCCTGGACCTGGGCAACACGAGTGCCCCAGGGTGTGAGCACATGGGAGGTCTGATCTCATGGCATCCAGAAAGCGAAACAGAGAGGAAGAGATGAGAGTGCCCTAACCTCCTTAAGAGCGCAGCATCAATGGCGCTTCCTTTCTCTGGGTCCCATCAACCTCCCAAGGGCACCACAGCCTGGGAGCTGAGCTGTTAACACACATCCTTCAGGAGGGACTTTCAAACCAGAGAAACTTGACACAGTAAAAGCTTGAAGTCTTTTCCGAATATATATGAAGAAAGGAAATTTCATCTAGTCCACCTACTTGTGAGACCCAAGGGAGAAAGATCACATGACATGTTCAAGAGCAGCCTCAGTAGCTTCGTGAGACTCTCGGAAAGAAAGGGGGAGTAGCTCAGAAGCAGAATCCATAGAACGAATGGGTAGTGAGCCTGAATTCTAGAGCCCCTGCCTAGAATCAATGAGGGGCTGGGGGCATGGCCTTCACAGGTCATATGATCCTGGGAAAACTGCTTAATGTCCCTGTGCCCCAGTAATCAGACACGAGTTCCCTGAGCCTGCTCCTCTCGCCTGCCTCTTCTCCCACGCCATGGGATTCTGTGAGGATTGAATGAGGGTCCAGCTTGGGTTTTATGTGCTGGATTCTGTGTGTGTGTGTGTGTGTGTGTGTGTGTGTGTGTGTGTGTGTGTGTATGTATGCGCTTATGCATATTAGAAGAGATGGGTGTATGTAGTGTGTACACACAGGTTACTGGTGCATTCATCTATGAGAACACACAGAGGCCAAAGGAGGATGACAGATGTGTTCTATGGTTCTGCCCCTTATACCCGAGACCGGGTCTGGTCTCTCCCTGCACCCGGAGCGAGGCTGGTGGCCAGCAAGTCCCAGCCCTCCTCCTGTCTCCACCCCATCATAGCACTGGAGTTACAGGTATGTGGGACTCTGACCAGCTTTTTTCTGGGTTCTGGGGATGTAACTCCAATTCCAGAGAATTTGATCCCCTCTTCTGGCCTCCACAGGCACCAGGCATGTGTGCGTGTGCACACACATACATACAGGCAAAACACACGTACATAAATTTAAAAGCAAATAAATATTTTTAAAATAAAAATGTAAATGGTGTATAATTGATATAAAGTCGGGCATGCCGGCATTCCCCTGCCAGCCAAGCACCTGGGAGGCTGAGGCAGGTGGATGGCCAGTCTGTATCAAACAAACCAATAATTATGATTTGAAGGTGAAAGCCTTCAGATTTGTGTATTTAACACTTGGCCCCGAGGTGGTGATGCTGTTGGAGCAGACCCTGGGACCTTCAGAACAAGAGGTCTGATTGATAGGTAGGTCACTTGGGGGTGGGCTTCTGTCTTGTGTGTGTATGTGTATATGTGTGACGGTTTGTGCACATTGATGCAGGTACCCTCAGAGACCCTTAGAGGGCATCAGATCCCCTGGAGCTGGAGTCACAGATGGTTGCGAGCAGCCCCATATGGATGCTGGGAACTGAGGTCACAGATAAGAGAACTCTCTAGACCCAAAGGAAGCAAGTTCTTAAACGTTACCGACTAACCCCACATCCTGTCTGAGCTCTCTGAGTCCTGAATGGCACCGTGAGAGACACACCACCCCCTACAAGCTCACAATGTCACCCCATCTATTACATCTTTCTCACCATGATGAACAATTTCCTCTGAGCGGGGAGCTAAAAACAAATAAATAGATAAATAAAATCTCTGCTTTCCTTAGGTTGCTTCTGTCATGCATTTGTTACAAGGATGGCAAAGGTGGTTTTCAAAAGGGCGAATAGACAAAAAATATAGTTGGCTACGTAGAAGATGCTAGATAGGTACAGTGTGAGGGGGGAGATGGCTCTGTAGTGTTTGCCATACAAACAGAGGATCTGTGTTCAATCCCAGCACCCTCATTAAAGTACACACACAAACATCTCAGCTATGGTGGCTCAGTGGAAG